CATGGCGCTTTCCTTTCTAGGATCCCAGTTCTTTCTCCTGTGATAAAGATCTGCTTCACAGCCAGGGAACAGGGTGGAGAGGATCCAGCCATGAGGGGAGTTGGGAATGAGGAAAGGAGTGGGGGTGGTCAGGCTGAGTGCCTCCTGCTGCTGCCTCTCAAGGGCCTCTGAGGCCAGGCCAAGACAGATCTGTGTCCACTGGTTGCCAATGTGGAGACAGGAGAGCCTGGCCAGGGCAGAGCTGGCAGCAGGAAAATCTTGGGTAACTTGGGTGTTTCCTAGACCGTGTCCACTTTAGTATCTTTCAGGGAATTCCTGAGAGAAGCCCTGTGTCTTCCACTGCCAACCAATCTGTCCCTCCAGCTTCCAGCTGCGTTCTGTCTCTGGGGCTGCTCCTAAAGGAACAGACACCACAGGGGTCTTCTTTCCAGGCGCACTGAGTGGGAGCGACCCTCCTTGCCCTTGGAAGGCTGGACAGCTGGTGTGTGCTTGAGCGCATCGAGTCATGTCTGTGAGCGGAGGACATGAGCGGGTTTTTTCCGGGAAGGGATTGCCCGCACAAACAGCAGCCACTTGGCTCTTGAGGATCACAGACTGACTATAGCTGCCTGTTGAATTCAGTCACAGAGCCTGGTTGTGATTGTGACTGGATACTATGTATCCTTACATTTTCCTAAATGTTCCAGAGCCAAATGTTGAAGGGCTGGCTAGCCTTTTTCAAAACTCTGATTCACTCCGGTAATATTGTTTTACTTCTTGGTTCTCAGTATACCTGAGAGTCATGGTAGCTGCCAAACAGAGACGTGCTATAGCTTATGTTGCTGAGACGAGGTTTCCAAAGCATTTCTACGACAAATTAGAGGAGATAATATTATTTCCATCTTACAGATAACAAAACTGAGGAGTAAGAGGATTTACCTAAAACCATGGCTGGCAGGCCTGGATGTGTGGCTCCCAGCCCTATATAAACACGTCAAGCACTTTTCTCAAGGAAGAAGAACCCTCCTGCCAATTACAAATTGCAAAATTAACAGACTTCTAAGAGAGTCAGCCTTCTTCTGAGTTCCTACTGAAAGGGCAGCGAATGAGTTAGGCTGTGCACTTTTGAGTCGACCCCCTAGTTCAGTTTCAGTCTTAGGTAAATGATTTAATATCTCTGTGTCTCATATTCCTCAGTGGTGCAGTATGAATACTGATTCCACATACCTCATAGGATTGATGTATAAGATGATTTAGCATAGGAATGTACTTAAGCCAGTACCTGTTGTGTGGTGACTCTCAATAAATATTAACTGTTTTTCTTAATGTACTGAGGGCGTGCTAAAGAAGGAGTCAGCCTGCAGGAGGCATGATGACATGGGAGAGTATGAGAAGGAAGGGTAAAGGAGTGGCTTAGTGCCGTGTAGTCAGAATGAGTGAATGGGTGTTAGCATTGAGCCTTCGCAGGTAGCAGAATCCTGAGATGATGCCACCAAGGGCATAGGACAGAGCAGGCTGAGGCACCGGAAGTGGGGAATGGCTCCGGGACTAATACCTGTGAAGTGCTTAGAGCCATATTCAGTCAGTAACTGATGGCCATTGTTACTGAGGAAGAAATGCAAGTCTTCACCTTCCCCACACACTAAGTCTCATCTAATATTTTTGATACCTATATAATTATATGCATTCAGGGCAAGCTGGGAAGGAGGGCATAGTTGAATAGAGGAAGAGGAAAATATCTTTAGATGAAAAATGGTCATTAGCCAGGTCTGTAAAACCGTCTGCTGCCAAAAAGCCACTAAAATTGGTGACATGCCATTATCCACTCCCTAAATGGGGGAGCCATTTTTAAATGACTTGATGCAGACAAGGCTTTAGGAGATTGCTGTCTCTTCTCTGTGTTAACTAAATGATGCTTCTAGCTTAAAAAGAACAATTTGAAACCTAAGAAACAAGTGGTGGAATTGTCAGGGAATTAGTGGTAATGTGTCGCCCGGAGATCACTGGCATCAGAAGGCATGGCTATTAATGATAAAAATGCAACTTTAAAGTGTTTTCTCTTTTCAAGTCAAGGGAAACAGGACTTGGAAAGCATGGTGGATTTGGGAAATAGGTAATATACTTGTCACACAAGAGGGCTGTGGGAGGAAGAGGGCTCTACAGAAACCATCTTCAATTAAAATGTGACTGCCAATTAGTTCATTCAACAGCTATTTTTAAGGACCAAATAAGAAAAAGGATAAGGAATCCCTGAAAGCCACAGGTCGCCTTATGGTATGCAAAGTATTACAACTGCTTTGTGACTAAGTTCAGCAGGCCACGGAATTGGTACACCTGCCCAGTTCCTTCTGATTCTACCTTCAGCTCCAACCAGCAGGCCCACTCGGCATTGGGCCGAGTCATGGTGCCCACACACACACAGACTGAAGTTCGCCGGGAAGAGAACGCAGGCACTGGAGCCACTGGGGCAGTTTCATGTGAGCTCTAGGATTCTAATAGCCTAAGAATGGAATACTGTACAAATAAACAAATTGTTATGGGGAGCTCATTATTCCAGAAGGACAAGCACTGTTGCCTGAAGGACTGTTTGCAATGCAGAGTAACTCTGTCCCCCTGGGGTCCTTTGCCTCCATCCACCACACCCTGACCTCTTCAGGAGCACCCCCTCTTTCCTATACTCCAGACTGTCAGGAGCCCTTCCTCAGGGTGTGCAGTTCCGCCCTCATCTGCCTGACCCCGGGAGAGCCCAGCCCTGTGTGGCTTCATGGATGTTGAGTGAGATCTACTCCCAGCTTGTATCTTTAGAAACTCAAAGATGGGCAATGGCAGCCCATCGAGAACTTGATTTGATTTTATCTTTTATCATCCATTCATCCAACAAACAGTATTCAGGAATTCTGTCTGTGTTGGACATAGTCCAGGCAGGATGAATAAGGTTTGTCTGTGGACTTAACATCTACAGAGAGAGATAAATATGAGAACCTGCAAAGGCACAAAATGGAAAAGAGCAGGCTGGGTCAGACCACAGTGAATTCCCATGTGGCCAGAGTGTAGGATGGATAAGGATCCGGGGGGCCAGTCCCTAGGCTGTGTCTTCCAGCAGAACCTGTAGACGGTATCATGTAGCAGTGGGGAAGCAATGAGCATTTTAAGCGGGAAATCAATACAATAAGATGTCCACCGGTGAGACATTCTGCAAGGCAGAATAATAAGGTGTGGTGGCTGCTGTCCTGTAGCCTGTTTCACTAGGATGAGAACTGGGGCTCCCAGAGCTATCTTGCCTTTCTGACCCCCATTAGTAAAACAGAAATGTAACACTTCTCTTACCTAAGGGAGTTGTTTTGAGGAGCCAATGAGATCATGGAAATGGAAGTTTGAAAAATAAAGAAAATTTTTTAAAACCTTAAGTTTTTTAAGCAGTAGGGCCAACAATAGTATTATTTTTAATATGGTATCCTTATCATTTTTCTCATTACTGCATCCATTCCACATGAATTTATTCTTTTAAAGAAAAGGAAAAGGGAGGAAGTGGCAGACCCAGTATAGCAGGAAATAAATACCTGCGTCAGGGCTGCTGAATAGCAGGGCTTCCTGGTCCCTGAAAGGCCCTGAGACCGGCCTGGGTGGCGCGGGAAGCCAAGCAGGCTGGCCAGTGTCAGGGAACAGACAGATCTGCCTTCCCGCAGCACAGAGAGGGGCCTCAGGCAGGCCAGGCTCAGGGCCTCCCCACCGAGGTGGGACACCAGCTCTCCACCCTCTCCACGAACAGGAGTGGTTTCCAGATGACTCATACGAATAGCACGCCAAAAAATAAAATAGAGGCGATTAGCACTATTCTAAGCAAGTGGAGTGCCAGGCTCTGCATTGTGTTCTAACTTATCTCAGGATCAGAAAAGGAAGTAAGAAAAGGCTTGGCCATATTTCTCTCAGAACAAGAACATTTCTGCCCTTTTCTTTCTGTGTGAGAACTGTTCTGTGACTTGATTCAGGTAGTGAGTGAAATTACCACCCAGGTTAAGCTGCTCTTATTGTGACAGGGCAATGATGAGGAGCTGGCTTTGAAGGCAGATGGATATTTTTATCCCTGCTCAATGATCTTGGGCAACCTTCTGGGGCCCAGTTCCTCTGTCTAAAACATGGAGATAGTATTAGCACCAGCCTCATGAATATTAAATTCATATATCTGAGCCACGTGCTTAGAACAGTGCCTGGAGAATATAAACCCTTAATAAATATAGCTAATATTGTATTAATAATAACATTATTTAGTGTATATTACTTTATCACCTCCCTTGATTGGCTACTATTTTCTTGTGATGTTACATTGTCCAGTGTATATGGTGCTGCCTCTGAAATTGGTAGGTCACACAAAACTCTACTGCCTTATCACTGTGTCCTCTGCTCTTCTCCTTAATGGCCCCTTTCTGCCCCACCCTCCCTCTGCTTCCCCATCTGTGCCTGGGAAGATTGTCAGCCCCTTTCCCTTCCAGACACTTTGCCCTAATGTCTCAATAGATGCAGGCAGCCACTGATTCCAGAGAGCCATGAGAGCCCAAGGGGCTCCTAGGAAGGTGGGGTGTGTGCCCTGGTCTGACACTGGCTCTGTACTCAATCTCATCAATTTCATGTGAATGGTAGTAATTGCCCACCTTACAGGGGTGGTGGAAATCTGAAAGGCAAGGTGCCTGCATATAGGAGGCATGGGGATGATTGAGAGCCCGAGCTGAGGGAGTGAGACAGATGTGGTTTCAGTCCTTGCTGGCCCTGTGACCGTGAGTGGTTCCCTTCACCTCTGTGTGCAGCACTTGCCTTGTTCACCTGGGGTAACAGTATATCCTACCTCCTAGGATCCCAGTACAGGTTGTCAGGCATCTGAAGCACTCACCAAGCGCTTAACAAGTGTTACCCCTGTTACTGTTAACAGCTGAATGCTCTGCCTGCGGGAAACTTGGGGTGGCGCTGGTGCTCCAGGAGCGTGCGGCTCCGAGTGGTCAGCATCTCCCTGGACCTCTTCCCTGCAGGGCTCTATGTGCTGGTTGGAGCAGGGGCCCTGATGATGGCCGTGGGCTTCTTCGGGTGCTGCGGAGCCATGCGGGAGTCGCAGTGTGTGCTTGGATCTGTAAGTGGGGCGTCGGGGGAGGGAATCTGTCCGAAGGGAGCCAGAAGCCTGGCCTCCAGTGCCAGGTCCTCCTCAGGCCCACTGAGACTTGGTGCTCACTCCCTCTCTAAGTCTGGGTTTCTCCATTTCTTGCATAAGAATAATATTATCTTTGTCCCTACCTCAGATGGAATGAATGTATGAAAAAAATTGGGTCATTAGTGTGATGTTTTAGGAGGTAAAGTGCATAATAATTGTGAGGGATAATTTTGATTGTTCTCTAAAATTTAATATTTCACAGAGTGTGAGACAGCTAAAAGATTCCTGTAGCAGAGAAGTGCTGGCTGTTATCTACAAGAAAAGCATTGCTTTCCAGAGCTTAACTTAACAAAACATCCCTCTTGCAGCTTATTTTAACAAATAGCATCTATTTAAAAAAACAAGAAAGAAAAAATTTCACTTAACTGCGCTGTACATGAATGCCGGTGCGACCTGAGGAAAACAAGAAGGAAGCAGAGGGGCAAGAAGACAGAAAACAGGGGGATCAGGAACAGCAATTTTATTAGGCAGCCCCTCCTTCCTCATTGCAAATTTGACTTTTTGACTGTGGCTGCTGCTTCTGATCTCTTGCTATGTAAAGTTCTAACCCATTTCCTCAGTGCCATCCCCCATCCCCCCTGTTCTCTCTTCTCCCAGTTGCTGAACATCTGCCCCTCTGGTGCATCACTGAACTTGGTTTGATCTGAGCAGACCCAAGACCAGAACAGAAATCTGCTCAGCAGGGCAGCCCTACCGCCACTCCCACCCCCTCAGAGAAGCCTCTCCAGACTACACAGTGTCAAGGCACACCTTCCCCGAGCCCAGCACCCGGCCCCCCCACTCACCATCTCCTGGCCTAAAGCTGTATCTTTATAGAACCTCTTTTGCTCATCAAATATTCATTGATCACATAGGTGCCCGACACCGTTCTAGGTGATGTGATTTCTATGTCACCATCTGAAATTATCTTTTTTATTGCTTTACTCATTTATCATATCTTCCCCTTCTCATATGAGGCCATGACAGTAGAGACACTGGGATCTCATCTTATTCACACTGTATATCCAGCCCCATGGACAGTACCTGGTGCACAACAGATGCTCAATAAACAATGGCTGAATTAATGAGTGAATGAGCAAACTACAAGGGAACTGATGAGGCAAGGGCTTCCCATCAGATCAATTCAGGCTAACAGCCTTGCCTAGTGTTTTTCAAATGGAAGTAGAATCAGAGGCCAGATAAATTGAGAAGGTATTGAATTAATGCAGTTAGTATTTTCTCCCCTCTAGTTTTTCACCTGCCTGCTGGTGATATTTGCTGCTGAAGTAACCACTGGAGTGTTTGCTTTTATAGGCAAGGATGTAGTAAGTAAAAATTACTTAACAATTTCTTTTACTGATGGTTAAAGTGTTCTCTCTATGGCAAAGGACATGGGAATAGCCACAGTGACACTGTGATACCAGATAGCCCCACAGTTATCACTTGAACAGAACTTTTTAACCCAGAAGAATTATAAGGAACTGAGCGTAAGTAGGAATGAGTGTGCATGCCTATATGTGCACACATTTTTCTCAGGAGATTGTTCACGGCTTTCATTGAATTTATAAAAGGGGCCTATGATTTTCTTTTTTAAAAAGTATCTCCAGTTTAATATTATCCCATTTGAAATGGGGTAGGTTTTATTGAAGACATGAGAAAGGAGGAGGGAGAAGAACATACATTCTTACCTTGTTGGCTGGGCTGTCATTTGTCCTTAAGACTTGGCCTGAGCAGAGGCTATGTCATCGTCACAGACTAAAGCCTGACCTGTGTGCTGAGAAGCCAGTTTATTTAGATCTGTGCTCAAACTGTAGTGTCCAAAAATAGGTCATCAGGAGAACCCACAGAGAATGTGACCTTTTTAGAAGGTTAAAACACACTGTGGCAGAGAAAGGAGTGAAAAAGAAAAGGAGGAAGAATGAAGTCTTAAGTTTACTATATTTCACATAAATTCATGTGCTGTCAATAACTGTGTCTATAAAGTTATTTTTAGATTTTTAAAAATGCTAAATGTATAAAATAAGTAAATTTCAGCCCCTTTGGAATTTTTTCTAAAGAAGCTGGTAATATTTTTAGGTTAGAGGATTAGATCTTATGACTTTGGGAGAGCTGTATGGATTTGGGTCACATGCCTTTATGCTAGAAAAAGCATTCTCTAAGTTTTATGATATTTGAATGCCAAAACAATTTGCCTTGGTCATGAACACCTTTTAAACCATGTCATGAAGAGACTTGAGGACTTTTAATCAGTGGGGTAACAAGAATTCTGGCTGTGCCTCAGGATTACCTGGCTGAACCCAGGAGTCTGGGGTCTAGTTGATGCTGATGTCCATTCAGGTTTGAAAACTGCCATTCTAAGAAGTCTTTCTAGTCTATGAATATTTTTCTTCATTAGTCTATCCTTATATCTTTAAAAGTTATCTTAGAAACTGCAGAATCTATAATCTGTCCCATATATGCAGAATTATCTTAAAAGACAGAAAAACATAGGGAAAGGCCATATTTTTGTAGGGTAAGGAAGAGGGGGTTTTCCTTAATGAAAGGAGAATATTTGAAACTTCCCATTCACTGCCCCCTTGGTTTTCCTGGTATTTTTTCAGGCTATACGACATGTTCAGACCATGTATGAAGAGGCATATAATGATTACCTTAGAGACAGAGAAAAGGGAAATGGGACTCTCAGTACCTTCCACTCAACAGTAAGTAACATTATTTCTTCCTTAAAGTCCTATCTTCTAAAGATTACCCATGAGCCAGGTCTCTCTAATCACCTGAATTGAAAATAAGAGTAAATCCAGCAAAGCCAGGAAGCAGTGCCGTATTTCAGCCTTCACTGGAGCCATAGTCTGCATTATGTGTAGAACTTGGAGGAGAAAGAGGCCTGACACACTGAGTTCGCAGGAGGCAATCAGGACATGGGTCTGAAAGAGACACAAAGACCGCATACAAGAACACCAAGAAAGCAGCCCAAACAAATACCACGTTCTCCCAAAGGGTGGGGCTGGGTGTAACAGAAACTACTGTGACCTTCAAGTCAGTAAAGGTCATTTCTAGCTGCAGTTCTACCACTGAACAACTTTGTGACCTTGAGCAAATTCCTCACCTCCCTGAACCTTAGCTCCCTGATTTATAAAATGAAAGAGCCTGTGAGGTAGCTACACACTCTCTTTGTGGAGAGACCTGTGGGAGTGTGCTGTCCGTGCTGTGCTGAGAGCTACACGCAGTTCACATGCGGTGAACATACAGTGTAGCCACAGGGAGGACATGGGCTGGAGCCATCCTGATTTCTTAACCACTATGATACGGAGAAATAGCTCTGAACTTCTGGGCCAGGTGTTTTCAGGTAACCCAGTTCTTGACTGTCACAGGAATGTCCTGAAAGATACCAGCCATTTATCCTGTTCGGCTTCAGCTGCCCCAAGGATGTCAGCAGCACACAGGTTCCTTTGTCTTTGAAGGGCCACTCCTAAGGCAGGACTCTGGTCTTTTAGCCCCTGGGGTTTGCTGTCACCAGTTCTCTCTATCCCAGACTGTCACAGTTAATGAGCCCTTCCTGAAGCTCATAAAACTTCAGCAGGAAATTAATCCCAGGCTGAAAGAATCTAAAGACCCAACTCCTGCCTAAAAAACAGCAATTTACACAGACACTGTCAGTTTGCTTCTTGCCTTGTTTGGGTTGCCTTGAGTCACTTCCTATCATAAAACTGAGACAGCTTTAGAGAAGTCACATCTTGTTTTGCTAGCACAATTATGTTACTCTTTCCAGTCTCTTTCCAGAAATGACAGTTTGGGCCACAGTGACCAGGCCTCATAGCTGCCTCACTGCCTCAGCACCCCCAGTCCTAACAGCTTGCCCAGATTTGCAGCTGCTGCTTCTCCCTCATGTGTCCTAAAAGCTCTTTTCTGACTCTCTAGTTTCAGTGCTGTGGAAAAGAAAGTTCTGAACTGGTCCAACCCACATGCCCAAAGGAGCTTCTAGGACACAAGGTAAACTTCTCTACCAGGGTTCCTATCCTGCCTGAGCATAAGGTGGTTTTTACCCTCGGGGGGAGCGTGTGATTCTAGGAGGCTCTCTCCTAGTAGCTTCTGTGCCTCAACTTTATTCTATGTAAAATAAGTGAAGCAATGCCAAGTTTCAGTCTCCTTGTACCCTGGCTGATGATGCAAAGGCTATGTCATTATTAAGCTCACTGGGGCCAGAGATGTGCACCCTGAGAATGCTGCCACACACTTCTCCAGGGGAGCCACCCCAATAACGTTGCCTTACGCTTCTCCATGGAAGTCACAGCACTTTATAAACACTTCATGTATCTGCTGTGCGTCAGGGCAGGTTCTGAAACATCTAAGATGAAAAACTCATGGTCCCTTCCTTGGTGGCCTCACAGATTAGTCAAGGGAGGTGGTGCTGTGCCTCAAGTCTGTACAGGGTACAGTGAAGACACAGGGGGGTTAGGAAAGCTTCTCAAAGGATGGGATCCTTAAGCTGAGTCTTAACAAAAAAAGGTCATTCCAGGCCCAGAAAGCAGCAGGAATAGAGGCATGGCAGGCTGAAACTCTAGGAGTGGAGGAGAAGAGGGAGTTCAGAGGGAATGCTAAGGGATATTTTTGGAGAGGCAGGTAAAAGCATAGATTTACACCTGGAAGTTTGGGTTAGCCCTTGCTTTTAGGATCAAGATAATCAGTTTTGCATTATAGAAAGAATATTTAGACTGCTGGATGTGATGGATAGAAATAGATTGGAGACTAATGGAGGGAGGCCACTTAGGTGGCACTTGTAAGATAGGATAAGGGGCTAAAGCAAGTTACAAAGAGTGGGGAGGGACAGGAAGCAACTGATTCAGAGATGTTCAGGGGTAGAACCAACAGACCTGGAAGATGTTTTGGGTGTGAGTGGGGAATGAAAGGGAGAAAGCCTTAAGACTTCAAACATTGGTTCAGGCAGAGTGGGTGGGTAGTGGCTCCCCTTGCAGAGAGAAATGAATGAAGAGGAAGGAGCAGATCCTGGGGGCAGATGATGGCTTCAGTTTTGGTCAAGTTTGCCCTTTAGGTGCCCATGGGACTTATAGATAATCTGAGCTGGAGACACATGTGTAGGGATCCCAGCATATTGATTGAAGCTGAAGCTGTAGGCATGGATGGGAATACCCAGGGAGAGTGTGTAGAATAAGGAAAGAGGTAGGCTGAAAATACGGTTATTTAAGGGGTAGGCTGAGGACAAGAAGCCAGAACAAAACTGTGAAAGAGGTGGTGCTTGAAGAACAGTCCAAAGACAGTGGTGTCTGGGAAGCAAGGGAGGAGATAGTTTGTCCATAAAACCAAGTGCTGGGAAGAGGACAAGGAAATGAAGGCTCAGAATCGTTTGTTGGATTTGGTACTTAGGAGATCACTAATGGTATTTGCCATGCAGTCTCAGTGAAGCAGTTGGGCAAAGTGCAAGTACAATTATGGGAAATGAGGGAAATATGAGAGGGGGGACAATGATACCCATGTTTCTAGGCATTCAGCTGAGAGGATGGATGCGATTTTAGTCCCAGCTTGTGTCAGGAATCACCCATTGAATACTTTTTGAGTCCTTCTAAGTTGGGTGAAATGAGTAAGATGCAGCCACTGCCCTCAAACTGCTCACCATCTGGCTGGGGAGGCCAGCAGGGGAGCTGTGACCACCATGTGGCAGTACATGACTGAAGGCCACCAGAGAGGGAGCACAGCAGGCCCAGCCAGGGGCATGGCAACTGTGGGGTCACAGGAGGCTCCCTGATGTGATTCTTTGCATGAAATTTGGAAGATGAATAGCAGTTCAGAAAACAAACAAAAAGCATGGATATTCCAAGTAGAGGGGATAGGACAAAGGCATGGATGCAAGAGAAAGTGTCCAGGAAATTGCCAGCAGTGGGGAGTGACTGGAAGCTCTAGTGTCCATGGAAATGAGTCCTTTGAAGAGGAAGGACCTGTTCTTGAAGGGTCTTGAATATTCTTGTGAAGCCTGAAGTTTAGACCTCACACCACGTGCTTAGGAAAGCATTGAAAGTAGAATCTGGGATGGTATTTGAGTTTTCCTGAGTTTGCTGTAATGGCAGTATAGAGGACTGATTGGAAGTGAATGACCTGAAGCAGAAACCAGAGGGGAAGGCTGCCATCCTCACTGACAGCCAAGAGATATTAACTGGTAACAGTTAATATCTCTTAAAAAGGTGGACTGAGGGGCAGGAATAAAGAAGAGGCCATTTAGAAAGTAAAATCTACAGGACCTGGTGACTGATTAGGTATGAGGAAGAGAGAGGAATCCACTGCTGGGTTCCTGGCTTTACCATCTTGATAGATGATGGTATCATTTATTGAACTGAGGGATAGAGAAGAAGAAGCACATTTTGGAGAAAAGAAAGTGAATATTAACATGGTGATTTTGAGGAGCCAGTGGAACTTGCAAGTGAAACGTCCTATAGGCAGTTGGAAAATCTGGTTTGTGGCTCAGGAGAGAGGTGTGGGCATAAGTACTTTATGGGAATATTAAAGCTGTAGATATGAGATATGAATTTGATCCATTAGTTTTGGACAAAAGGATGAGGATAGAGCTCTGGGGAACTATATTTAGGAATGGGCAAAGGAAGAGTTGCCAAATAAGGAAAGTAGGAAAAGTAGCCAGACACAAGTGAGGAGGCCCACAGCAGGGAGTAGGGCATGGTTACCAGGGCCAGGTGCTGCCATTGAAATCAGCTCAGCATTTGTTGACTACCTTCCTTATGCTGGCACTGCAGATACAAAGATGAATGACACAAACTCATACTCTCAAGGGACTTGCAGTCTAATAAAAGAGATGGACAGATAAAGTGCAGAATACAGATATGTACAGAGTGTGCAAGGTGCCATGACAGCACAAGGGGGCACTTAGGTGAGGCCACAGGCTGGAAGGATTGGGAACCCTGCCTGGAGTAAAGATGTCTCAGCTGAGTCTTCAAATGTGAGACGTAATTATGCAAGCTTTGGGCAGGAAAGGGTAGGACACCAGCCTACAGAGGGAAGAGCATAAGCAATGGCACAGAAGCAGAAAATGTGATAGTTTATATGGAGAACTGAAAGTCTAAGAAGCTCCAATAAGATAGCTACTAAAGAGTTGATAGATTAAACATTTTAAAAAATAATTGATGGAGTAGGGGCTTAAAGATGGTGGCATGAGAGGTAAGACAGAGACCTCCTTCTTAAACCACATATAATACAAAAATATAATTAATACAACTAATCCTGAAAGAGCAACAGGAAAGAAGACTGTGCCAGACTGCATAACCTGGTTCAAGCCAAAATCTCACAAACACCAGAAAAAGCATCAAGTGAGACTGAACTAATCAATCTTTCTGAAAGATATTTCAAAATAAAAATCATAAACATGCTCCTGGAGGTATAGAAAAATATTCAAGAACTCAGGAGTGAACTTAGATGTAAATCCAATCATTAAGGCACACAATGGAGGATTTTAAAAGCAGATTATATATGGTGGAGGAGATGATAAATGAAATAGAAATTAGAGAAGAGGAATACAAAGAAGCTGAGGCACAGAGAGAAAAAAGGATCTCTAGGAATGAAAGAATATTGAGAGAACTGTGTGACCAATCCAAATGGAACAATATTTGCATTATAGGGATACCAGAAGAAGAAGAGAGAGAAAAAGGGATAGAAAGTGTCTTTGAGGAGGCAATTGCTGAAAACTTCCTCAATCTGGGGAAGGAGATAGTCTCTCAGGCCATGGAGGTGCACAGATCTCCCAACACAAGGGACCCAAGGAAGACAACAGCAAGACATATAATAATTAAAATGGCAAAGATCAAGGATAAGGACAGGCTATTAAAAGCAGACAGAGAGAGAAAAAAGATCACATACAAAGGAAAATACGTCAGGCTATCACCAGACTTTTCAGCAGAAACCTTACAGGCCAGAAGGGAGTGGCATGATAAATTTAATGCAATGAAGTAGAAGGGCCTTGAACCAAGAATACTCTATCCAGCAAGATTGTCATTTAAATTTGAAGGAGGGATTAAACAATTTCCAGATATGCAAAAGCTGAGAGAATTCATCTCCCACAAACTGTCTCTACAGTATATTTTGGAGGGACTACTATAGATGGAAGTGTTCCTAAGGCTAAATAGCTGTCACCAGGGGAAATAAAACCACAGTAAAGGAAGTAGAACAGTTAAATACTAAGTAAATGCAAAATTAAATCAACTATTCCCCAAAGTCACTCAAGGGATAGACAAAGAGTACAGAATATGATACCTAATATATAAAAAATGGAGGAGGAAAAAAAAGAACCTTTAGATTGTGTTTGTAATAGCATACTAAGTGAGTTCAATAATACCTTAATTTAAAAAAAGTAACTGATGACTTGTTAATGAGGCAGCGGGCACTCACATACTGAATGAAAATGAGTAGTAAGGAGGGAGGGTGTCCTTTCAATTAGTTTGGCTTTGGACAAAGGACAGGAATAGAAAATCCAGAAAAGATGAAGTCTAAAACGTGTATACAGTTAATAGTAATGTTAAATAATAATAGCAAATTAAAGAGATGTCATTTTTTAATATATGAAATTGGCCAAGCTGTTTTTTTTTTCTTAGTAATATACAGTGTTGGCAAAAATGATATGGAATGAGCATTTTCAGAGAAATCGGTACAAAATTTTTAGAGATCAGTTTGACATCATAACACTAATGGATTAAGTATGTTCAAGCCCTTTGATCCAGAAATTCCACTTCTCAAATTTATTTTAAGGAAAGAAATCAGAAATGTGGACAGAGATTTTTGTGCAGTGGAATTTTTGCAGTGTTATTCATAAGAGCAAAATATTGAATAGGCCATTAATATGTAAAGGATAGGTAATTTTCCAAATAAACTATGTACCATCATATGATGAAATGTTTTACTACCATTAAAAGTAACAATTTAAAAGTATTCTTAATGAAGGAGATATTTTTGTAGTTGTAATATTAAGTTTAAAAACC